TACATGTGAAAAAATTGAGATGGATTAGCGATAGACATTTTTAGCAACGGATTAGTGAGGGGATCGCGTCCGTCGAATGTTCCAATCCCTTATTAAAGCCCCTTTCTTCTTCCTCCTCCCCAACTTTCTTCTCCCTCTCCTTCTCTAACCAATGTCCGTCAGTCTCCCTCCCTTTTAAACCACCACCAAACTCTACTTCTTCACTCTCAATTAATTAACACCCATTCCAAGGTCTTTTCTCCTAAAAAAAACTCATTTTTTCTTCCTTCATCTTGATATAATTTCATTCGAATTAGGTTAGTTTTCTCTCTCTTATATTTGCTTGATTAAATTTAATAATTTGTTTTAATTGTTAAGTTAATTTTAAGTTTAGTTGCTTGATTTATAATTATGTATATATTTAATTATTATTTTTTTGATTTATTTGTTAAATTGTTAATTTTTCTTAATCGTTAGGTTAATTAATTAGTTGATTAATTTGTTAAATTGTTAAATTTTGTTAATTGTTAGATTAATTTGTTAATTAATTGTAACTTAAATTTAATCAAAATTGATTTTTATTTAATTAAGTTACTTTTATTTATTTTTAGTTAATTAATTGGGTGAATTGGTTGAATTATAATAAATTTGTTAGTTAATTGTAATTTGCTAATTAATTGTTCAATTTTTCTTAATTAATTTAATTTAATTGTTATTTTAAATTTAATTGGTTAGAATTAGAGAAATAATTAAGTTAATTTGATTTATATTTGATTAATTAATTAGGTTAATTTTGTTTAATTGGTTGAATTATAATTTTATTTATATTAGAAATTGTTAACTAATTGTTATTTTAAATTTAATTTGGTTAGAATTAGAATTAATTAAATTAATTCTATTTATAATTAATTAATTAATTAGGTTAATTTTGTTTAATTGTTTGAATGAAAATTTTATTTATATTAAAAATTGTTAATTTATTGATATTTTAAACTTATTTTTGTTAGAATTAGAATTAATTAAGCTAAGTTAATTTATAATTAATTAGCTTAATTTTATTTAATTGGTTGAATTAAAACTGGGTTTTTCAATTTCGGTCCAAATGTTCAATCCTTACCACGAATTGAGGCCAAGAAGGTAGGGATTGATAATGGGATTTCTAGTTTCAAACACAAGGATTCAAACCCATACGTCAGATTCAACAATAACGGGTTTTTGACACCAAAGTTCTAGGTTTTACCACAATTTCAACCCAAGTGACCCGAAGCAAATAATGGGTTTCAGTGCCAAATTCTCAAGTTTCGCAACAATTTCAAGGTAGGAGTTTGAAGGCTGATGTTGGGATTTTTCTAGAGGAATCTTTAGGCTTTGCGGCAGATTCAAGTAGTGGAGATCTCTAGCAATAAAAAAGAAAAAAAAATATTGCAGATTTTGGATTGGCAATAGACAATTTATGAAGATCAGAATTGGAGTGATGATTTAATTGGGACATATCCTTATATGTCGCCAGAATTGGTCAGAAAAAAGATATGAACACGGTGTATATATTTGGGCTGTCGGTTGCACAGTAGTGGAGATGTTGAGTAGTAATTCTGTATGGCCTGATATGGATGTTCCACGATATGTGGATGCTATAAGCTAAAGGCCAGGATTTGCCTTAAATGACAAGTGCTATATCTGATGGTCTCAAGGATTTCTTGGGAAATGGGAAACTAGTATTGCTCTCTAGTATTGCCTAAATTACTCTCTGCTGTGGCATTTTGCATCATGTCATGAATTAATAAATTGGATTGCAATTAGCAATGCAAGTTGCTACTCAGAGTGAGTATATTATCAAGATATGACCACAAAGAAATGGATCTATACTGGTATGGCCGCAAATCAAGCTTCTGCCCTCTGGAGCGTTTGTCTATACATGGTAGCCTTCATTTAATTGATTTCAAAGTTATTGGCCCGTCCCTTAGATTGAGGTTCCTGGAAATAGTTTCCTTCCATAGATTGGAAAGCATTGAGATTTCTACTCCAAATCTCACCATGTCAAGTTTCATGAACCAAGCACTTATTTAAGAGATTTTACCATATGTTTGAAGTATGTGCCGCGTATGTTTGAGTTGTTTATAGAATTATGATGCTGTAATTAAGGTAACAAAGGCCAGCAGATACCAATATACAGAATTCACAAATCCTTACACTGAAACAGGATGGATGCTGATATACCTTGCTCGATCAGGCAATAAAGAATGGTCATTCATTAAACCTTTCATGAAAATCCATGTGGGTTCTAATTGTGGTCGTAATTTCTATAGCAGTTTTAGTATTGGGTTGATAGAGCAAAACATTGCCCTACGCTTGAGGGTTCTATGCTGCATCAAATAGGAATAATGCTTTGGTTAGCCTTCGACACTCTTTTCTCATTACAATGAGAAGAAAGTATAGCAACCTATCAAGAATGTTGAGGGTAATCTGGTTATTCATGACACTAGTGATCATACAGATTTACCCAGCTAACCTTGCGAGCATGCTACTGTCCTGAAGCTTGAACCTGCTACACCTAAGGTTGAGGCCCTGTTAAATAGCAACGCAGTTGTTGGGTATTGTGCAGATTCCTATTTACAAAATTATTTGATGGATGTTTCACGTTTCAAAAGACAAAATATCAAGAATTATACCATACTAGAAGTTGTTTAGTGGGCTCGAAGCAGGATCCACTAAGAAAAGACTCAATTATTACTTCAGTTAGTCTTTCCTAATAAGTTGAAACAGTTTAGTCCAAAGAATTTAAATCTTCTAAACTAAACCTGATCATCCAAACTTGGATGACATGGTATTATCCTAACAATCAAAGAACATCTTCTTTGACTATAAAGACTAGCCTCACATCATCGTGAGGGGATTATAACATTTCCGTCAAAAAACTTTTGACTTTATAACTTTCAATCTTTTGCAAAAAAAATCTTTGAACTCTTCATTCTAAAACTCTCCCACTAACATATTAGATACCACTAAAGTTTCATCTATTTGACTTTAACCTTCCACTTGTCAATCACATGACTTGCATCTTGTTAGCATTACATGTTTCTCCTCCCACGCCTCTCACTATTTACATCATTTATATTTAGTTGGTTGACTCGTTATTTCTATAAATCACAACACTAACTCTCTGCATCTTAATTGGCTTGCCAACCTATTATGATCAGCTTTTAAAAAACTCCCTTCTACACTTTCTAATTAACCGTTTCTATTAGATTCATGTTAACGTAACTATTAAATTGATACGTCGGTATATTAGCCCATCTTCCACGTTACCATAAACATTTCTATTTAAGTGTACATACTATTATTTTTTTATTTGAGTGTTTGTAATTAAAAAAAAACGATGAGTGCTATTGATTTTTAAATCTAATGCATACTCACTTTGCAATCTTATGTAGACTTTATTTTGACCAAGCAAAGTAAAATTAAAAATGAGAACAACAAAACAAATAAAAATTTATTCAAATTAAAAGAACATAATAATAAAAAGCATCAAAAAATATATTTGTGTTAATTGCAAATGACTAGATAAGAAAATAAAAAATAAAAATAAATAAACCAACAAAATAACTTTTGATGGAGATTGGTACAAAATGTATGTCTGCGAGCGTATGAGAGATTAAAGATTTTATTGAAAATTGAAATATATAAAATTATATAAGAAATTAGCTTTTTTGTATGATAAATTTGCTATTATTTTATCTTTTAAAATTAACGGTGAGAATTTGTTTGTTTTGTGAGAAAGTGGAGGAAATTGAGTACTTAAGACTTTTTTTTTTTTTTTTTTGAATTTCGATAGTCATATTTTATTCTTATTTTTTAAAAAAATTGAATAGATTGTTATGATTTTTTGTTGTTTAAGTTTTTAATTTTATTTAACTTGATCAACATATGGCTTATAGAATATTACAAAATAGATATTTGTCAGATTCAAAATTAATAGCGATCATTAATAAATTTTTAAAATTATATACACTAAAAAACAAATCTAAAAATATATATATTTAAACAGAAAAAATAAAAATACATAGACTCAAATTAAAAAAAATACATACACAATTATAAATATAATGAAATATTCATGCTCACTTGACGGACCGGACAGATCAATATGTCAATTAAGCGGCCACATTAACATAAATCTAATAGAGATACTTAATTTAAAAGATGTTGAAAGTTCATACATTCAAATTGAAAATATAAAAGTTAAAACACTCTAGTAGAAAAAATCGAAAAGTTTACACATCAAATATACAACAATTTCACCTTTTGAGTGATTTGGTCTCCTTTCAGTCTCAAATATATCCGCACGGTCAAAATGTGAACATCAAAAGCATACAATTCACCTAATTAGCTCATTTGATAATCGCGAAATCATGGTAACAAATTTTCTTATGAGTTTTTCGGTAAAAGTAGGCGTTTTTTCTGACAGGAAAAGTATGTTAGATTTGTAGGTTAAAAAAATGGTGTCCCCGAAAATATCCAGAAACGGAACAATTGACAAAAGGACCGGGTAAGAGCCAACCACAGCGATAGGAATGGCAAATGTCATCAGTTGTCCTTCGCTGAAAAGGAGGTAAAATGCTGCAAAAAAGGCTACCATCATAGCCAATACTGAGATGACCAACATTAGAAGTCCACCAATCAACTTGGAAGGCAATGACCTGAGAAAATCACGTTCTGCAAATCGAGAGATTAGGACAGACAAGAAGATTAACACCCAGGAAACGGATGATACCATAGCCACTGTGTCTGCGATGGAAAAAATTTTGAAAGCCACCGAGTGAAGGAAAACGGGAATCCCTGTCCCATTTCCAAGACCGCCTGGTAGGGTAAAAGCTGCTGCAAAAACAACTGTGGCAATGAGAGCTGCAACAAGCATGAGTGAATTAGCATTCTCTTTCATCCATTTCTCCCCTTCTTTCCTTAAGTCTTCATGTTGTGTAGTAAATAAGGACCCTGGAGTTTCCCCTCTTGAATTCTTTGCTTCAATTTGCAGTGGTGCAACGATCTTCTTCACTTCCTAGTGTTTATAAGATGTAAAGATAAGGTAAAGAGGCTGTAAGATTATAGAGCAAGCCATCTGACTAGAAATGTATTTTTTTCTGCATGGAAAAAGGAGAACAGTACCTCAAACCATAGTAACTCGTATTGCATTTGCAGAGCTGCTCCTGGTATAAGATCTAGTCGACTGCGCGGACCCAACTTTGCAGCCAAATGCAACATGTTGTTCCCTTCATCGTCTTTATATTCAACAATTAAATTCTTCATTGGACCTAAATCGTGTATCAGTTCAAAGACATTCTCATGACGATGCAAAACACTGATATGGAATATGCTACGCTGATGTTCGTCAACTTTAAACACCACATCAGGATAAGAACGAATGACTATCTTTAAGAATTCAGAGTTCCCTTGTTCTGCTGCAGTAAATAGTAGTCGGCCAGGCAATCCAATCAGACTAGAAATTATTGAATGATCCAACAATACAGCTTCTGCCCAGAGGTCTTTCACAAACCCAAGCGCTTCATTCTTTTGAACTCCATACATATAAAACTCAACCATCTGTGACATCGCTTTCATCACACCTAAAGAGGCGATGGCTTCTATTGAATTTTCTGCGGGAAGTGACGTCAAACACACCCCAAGGATATTATTTTTTTGTTTAACTTTCTCAATCCAAATTCTACTTTTCAGTAAAGGACGCTAAATAAAGCTGAACATGTGACTAACTAAATGAATGAATGGGCCATTTGAAGATATTTGTCTCTCTGTCTTTCATCCCCTTGATAACTAGCGTGATACGTACACTCATGTTTAAGGGAGTTTGATATATATATTCAAAAAAGAAGTGGTTGCTTTAAGTATTTTAGCTATTATAATTGATTAAAATAATATCTAGTTTATGACCACGTTCAATATATCACCAAGCTCTTACAAATTTAGATTAATTATATACCTATCTCACATGAGTTCTAATAAAAGAATTCATGCAAACAGCGCCTAGACAAGTAACTTGCCTACTCATAAATTATATGTTTGAGAATAGGATAAAGTAATTCTATATGTGTGTGTATATATATATATAGCAAAGCCAACCTTTGGGACTATTTAGTGATGGGATTACTGCTTAAAAAATGTCGACATAAATATCTGCGTATAAAAGTCATCACTTGTGGTGTTTTTGAGTATCCTGTCGACGAAGATAACATATTAGCAACTTTATCTCCGCGTGTATTTTTTTTTTTTTTAAGTATATATTATCAATTGGTTTTTATTTGATCAAGAAACTATTTAAATTGCTCCGACTATGTTTTCGAATATTTTCACAAGAGAGTTAAAAATAGAAAACAAATAGTGAGAGATTAGAGAACTACTCATTTTTATGATTAAGTCCTCAGCTGTACGTCGCCTTTCTACAAGAGGCTTTCGAGTCAAAACATGCAATGCCGTCTCGTGGTTTCTATCTTGAGCAATGGCTAAATTTGAGTCCGCCTGTAACATCTGCCTAGCAATATCTGAAAACAAAAGAAGGTAGTATCACTCAACTTGATCGTAGCTTCAAGGTTGATAAATGAAGAGACTGAAGAATAATTGTGATTGGAATGTTTATATATTTATTGGTAAAAGTAAAAAAAAATAGCGAGTTTTTCATTTCATCCATTCCACAAGCAAGTGTTTCAAGGATGCCTGTTTATATAAAATGTACAAAAATTCTTTGGCTAGTACGACTTTTCTTATGAAGTTTTCCATTTTTGTTTTTTCTGTTTTAATGCCGATCAATTGAAAGAAGAAAGACTTGTGCTGATAAAGCAATTTCTCGTGACGTTAGTTCAAAGTTAGAATTTAACGAACGTATAGATTTCTCATGCAAAATATGAAAGTTTTCATGGAACTGACCATTTAATTTCAATTGGTGAATAGGATTGCTGTGAAACATAAGAAACTCACCGTACATACCAACGTCGACCAGCATAACAAATAAGTTTTTCTGATCGGAGTCATTCAATTGATCTTTAGTGGCATCGTACAGGTACCTGGCCATCTTCCTTTGGCCTGACGAAACTGCCATTTCAAGTGGTAACATATTTTCTTTGCCACGGGTCTTTGCCAACTCTCTATTCCTCCCCATCATGACTTCAGCAACTTCAACTATTCCGGATACAGCGGCAAGGCAAAAGGCTGTATTTCCTGATCCATTCGTAAGACCTAAATCTAAATTGTTTTCTGACATTTTATTAACCAGCTGTCTAACGAAATAAGTGTGGCCTGCCGCAGCTGCAATATGAAGAGCAGTGTCCTCTTCCCCCGTGATTCTCGCATTGATTGCTTCTGCATCTTGCTCTAAAATACCTCGAGCACTATCCCAATCACCAATGAAGGCAGCTCGATACAGCTCGAGAATGTTTCTTTCATCTGTCGAAACAGCGAGAGGGAAGTCAGAATAGTTTAGCCCATTAAGTAGTTAAAGTACCTACAGTACACATAAATATATAGAACTATATTAAACGCATAGTTTTAAAAAACGACCGTTACATATCATAATGACCGTTATATAACGATTTTGAAATATCCTATTACCGTTATTCGATGTTATGGATGCTCTAATGCTATTGCACAGGTATAACAACAAATCACAATATTATCCCGTTATATAACGCTGTTATTTGACATTATATAACAGCATTATACAAAAAAAAATAAAAAAATAACACAGAAATCAACCATTTTTAGATTTAGAGTTTGAGAGTTTATTTTATTAGAGAATAAGAATCAAATACTAGAGTTGCAGGCTTGATTGAATAAATATTAAATTAGTTTTTTTATTTTGGCAAAATAAATTAGTTAGCCCTTTTTATTTCAAAACCAATTATTTATTTATTTTTATTCATTTTATGTTATTTTCTAATTTATTTTCCTTTTTGTTTGAAAAAAAAATTATATCATGAAAAGATTGATGAAAAAACTTTTTGTGAAATAAAATATATTATATTAAACATGATAAAAAAATTAAATAATTAGTTTTTAAAATATTAATGACTAATTAATTCATTTATCAAAACTAAAACAACTTTTAGCAGTATAATTTACTTCAGGTTGTGGTGCAGGCGCAACAAATTCAAAGGGCTTCAAACGTAGGTTTTAATTAAGTAAATTATAAATTATTCCTTTTAGCTAGGAAAAATAAAATAGTTGGCCCTTTTTTTCAAAAACCAATTATTTAGTCATATTTTTTAATTTTATGTTATTTTCTAATTTGTTTTCCTTTTTGTTCTTAAAATTAGAAAATAAAAAAATAAATTTACATCATGATAAGAATGATGAAAAAAATGTATGAAATAAAATATTTTACATTAAATATAGTCAATACTAAATAAATTTATGAGAATTAAAATATATTATTACTTATTAACATGTTTAATTAATAAAATTATTAAAAAGATATGAATTACAATAAATTTATTAATAGTTGTACATGTATTCACGACATTGATTGTCATAATTGTTATTTTACTATCAGAACAAGTAGTAATCGTTTTTTCAATTGCGATCGCTACTTAAAACTATAATTAAACGAGCAAATGGAATCAATTGAAAGAAACCTCTCTAATTCTTTTTTTTTTTTTTGCTGAAAATTGAAAGAAAGACTACCACGTCTTTGGAGCTCCAAATCAGCTCCGTTTGGTGCTGGTCTTGTTCCTCCCTGATTGTTATGGTCGCTTCTTCTGGTCTCCGGATTAGACATTTTTCATATAACAAGGCCTGCCGTAAATGCAATCATGAACGAATTTACCATTTTGCAAATATATGTAAAACAAAATACTCTTCTTAGAAAAAATCTCACTGTCAAACTAAAGCTTCATTAAAGTTGCCATATGGTTGTTGTCAGTAGTATAAAATCCTTGATTGCAAGGACAAAATTAATTAACGATTCAACTTAAAGCAAAGCCTGTTAAATTTTTATTTTTTATTTTTTTCCTTAAATGATATATAGATGTAGTTTTGAATAGGATTTTATGCATGTGATCAGAAAAGTTTGTTTCATTCTTTTGACTTTTTTTTAATTCAAACTTAGTCATCATCAACAAGAATTTAAAGATTTTTATTTAAAAAAAAAAAAAACAAAGTTAATGCAACTGACATTGATGTCTTCCTCCTTTTCAAGAGATCTCAAGCTCTTCTGTAAATATGAAAAAATAAAAAATGAAAGTCTTGGATTCGAGCCACATCTAAGGTTAGCATTTAATATTTTCTTAGTTTCGATTTCTTACATTTCAATTTGGTTTTTGGTTAACTGTATTCACCAAAAACATAATCGAATTCAAACCGAATTCGGGTTCAGTTTTTCGGTTTATTAAACCCAAATATTAGTTTTTGGTTTCAATTTTTCTCAAAAAAACGAATTTTTATATGAATGACATTGCTTTTACGCATCAACCCAATCAGAATGATCAGTATAAGAGCAACAAAACATAAATCCGAGCACCCTTCAACCACCTAAACAACTTCATTCTAATAAAACAAAATCTATCAATTTGGTCCTTTCACCATTAATCATCAACAATCAACTCCCCAAGCACCTCACTCTCACAGCAACATCAACCTCCATGGTAAACAATTATCACACTAATATTTAATCAACGGAAGGTAAAAATGAGGATTAAAGGAATTAATTACCCAGATTAAGAAGAAAGAGTACTGAACTGAATCTCTTTCAAGGAAAGGGGATCTAAAGTGCTAAAAGTTTTGTTGGCTGCTGTGACCTCCGGGATATGACTGAATCGCAGCTGATGAGGGCCGAGAAGATCAAGGATGGTCGGATATGATCTTTGAGGATTGTAGAGGATCGAATGGAAGCTGGGATCACCATAAAAGAAGCCCCAACCGTCGCATCTGATTAAATCGGTGGACCATGAGGCTGGCAGGCTTCTGGATTTCGCTGGAATGGTCAGGAGTGGTTTCCATGGGTTGCCGTGCTCAATGAACCTTTCCGGAGTTTAAACAGTGGAGAGCGGCGAGGGTTTGATTTTTTTTATTTTATTTTCTTATTTCTTTTCTGGTTAGTTTTTTTCTTTCTAGAGAGTGAACCATTTTTTGTGAACTGTTTGTGAACCGGTGGCTGGTGGCTGCTGGTCGTTTTGACAGACAGTGAGAATGAGTCAGGATTTACTGACTGAGGAAGAGGAAGGAGCAAATAGGCGGCTGCTGGAGCTGGAGGCTAAGTGAAAGTGAAAGGAATAAATTATCCCTCTAGTTTTTGAGATATTATTTAATCCTTTTATTTTATATATTTTTCATTTATTTTGCTTTTTTAAAAAATAAAAAAAAAAGGAAAAAATTAATAGATATTATGAAAAACAAAAGATATTTTTGAAATAACATAATATTAAATTAAACATGTTGATAAAAGGATTAAATAGTTAATTTTTGAAAAAAAATATAAATAATTCATTTTTCAAAATTAGAGGAACGAATTTATAATTTTCACAGATTCAAGAGAATTAGCGCCTTAGCGGATTAGGGTTTGGTTAGTTTAATATTTTAAAATGTGTATATATATAATTCGAAAAAAAAAGAAGAAGAAGGAAAAGCATATAATTCGTGTGGAAAAAAAGTATAGAAAGATGTGGTCAACGTCTTCATCAATTGTTTACTGGTCTCAAAATAAAATAATAATAATAGATAAATAAAGAACAAGAAAGATTATGAAGATTATTGGTGCTATATGTCGATCAATCATTGTATTAGACTAAATGTTAGAATATCTTTATAAAATTTTGAAAATTTTGAACTATATTATATTAGTAAAAAGAAAAAAAATTCTTTAATTAGTTTTTAATAACAATTAGAAACGGTTAAAGTGATTATTTTTAAAAATGATTATTTTTTATAACGTTAAGAAATGATTATTTTTTTATTTTTTATATATATGGTTTTGTTCTTGTCATTTACAAGAAGTAAGAAGTAGAAAGAACAAATAAGATTTTTATTTTTATTTTTTATTCTTTCACAAAAAATCATATTCTTCGTGTTACAAATTCAAGTAAGAATGGTATTAAATTTTATTGAGTTTCAAGTTTTGCAATTAGTGTAAACTTGTTAGATACAATAAGGTCGTTGAGTATGTTGTATTCTTGAGAAAGTATGCAACATACTATTGATTTGTTGCATCAAAAATCTCTACAAATGATGCATATTGGCTCAAAAAATAATTTGATTGTACATTGAGATAGTCACCACGAGATTTTGGTAATAATATGTTGATGGTTCAATAATCTCTATACCATAAAACTATAATAACATGATTTTAATCCCTTTTTTTTTTAATAATTAAGGTAAAAAGTTTTAATTCTTTGTCTATCTTAATTTAAAATGAATTTATTTATTGTGTGGGGGTTCTTGAGAATTAATCAAACTACCGGTTGACAGGAGAATCAAGAGACGAGAGAACTAGTGTTATAACCTCGAAGCAATAATCGACCAACAAAAAAAAAAACAAAAAAACAAAAGACGCAAGTAGTGAGAGGCATGTGACGAGAAACATGCAATGCTAGCTAAGGGCAAGTCGAGTGCTTGCAGGTAGTCAAGGTTCAAACGAATGGAGCTTTAAGTATTATCTAGTGAGGAGGGGGGGGGAGTGCGTGCGTGTTGTTAGAAATCCAAAAGTTTTTGATACCCTCACAACGATATGATGTTGATATTTATAATGAAAATAGATAACTCTTGATCACTAGAACTATGCCACATCATTTAAATTTAGACGGTTATATTTAATTTAAAGAATTTAGGGTTTTTTTAATTAATCGCTTTAATTTGCTAGTAAAAACCTTTTTTTAAAAAAAAAAAAAAGCAACAATTAGGGTTCTTTTTAACAAATCTTGCTCCAAAGCCAACCAAGCCAATCTACTTAATACATCCTAAGATAAGGCATAGACGCCGACATTGTCAAAATACATATGTCCATCTTTGCAACCCATGATCTTGAGTAGATTAAGGTCCATCCTTAGTCCAATCTATTTATAGTGTAGTTTGACCCATGTCAAAATCAAGAAATAAAATAAAATGGATTAACATATAATAAAAATCAACTAAGTTACTTAATTATTTCTTTATGAACAAATTGAACCTATAAATTTATTTATTGTGTGAATTTTTATTATATAATTCTGTTTTTTTTTTTTTATGTGCTGGGAACAATAATTTAAAATGATACGATATCCGTGATCTTATGATTAAAATGATAAAAAGAATTTAGACATGAAAATTTAATATTTTGTTTTTTATAATGTCAACGTCACTACATGCCTATTATTTGGTTTTTGATTATCATGAAGTAATTGGTGTTTGATAAATATGTCTTCACTAAGTATACAACATGTATAACAACAACAACTACAATAATAATAATAATAATAATAATTTTCATGATAAAGATATATTAATTCATAATGTTTTTCATAACTTACAATGGCGTAGCAAATATTATTATTCAAGGTCAAGAATAGTGATATTGTTGAAAGTTTATATTTGTGATATTAATCATATTGTTGATTTATTTGTGTGAATTTTATCGTTGATACAAATATAAATAAATTAAAAATTGATTTATACATTTATTTACATCGACCAATGATAATTGACATTGAAATTGTTTGCTATTTCGTTATCAATATTTTTTCTGCATATATATTGATCATATTGGATGCAAATTCATGTGGTATTAGAGGCAGTTGAAGCTTTGTCAATATAAAAAGTATTTCGAGTCTCATACAATACTTACGATACAATAATATAAAACTTATGTATTATAAATGTAAATTATTAAATTTTTTAATTATTACCCTGTATATTTGAGATTCACGTCTAATGAGGACAATATTTAATATCTGTATTTATAAGTAATGTTATATTTTTATATGCATGTTTATTGGTTCGTACATAAGTTTTTTAATCTATAAACCATAATTGGAAAAAAAAAAGTATGAATATATATATAAATTTTTGTTATTGAACATTGGTAAATTAACTGTTACTAAAATGTTGGTAACTTCTGATCTCATAAATTATCAGAACAATTTTGCATGCATGATAGAAGAGATATTATGACCAATTAAACATGCATGACCATCATGGTATTTATACTACTATGATATTTTATTAATATTTACCGATCATCTATCAAGCATATAAATTTAGACCAAAATGATCGATTCCCTCAATGATTTTATTTTATTCTTCCTTCTGCTAGGAGGGTGATTGAACATTTGTCAAATCATAAACTTCATGCTCAGGTTTCTTTGTTCAATGAGATGTTTTGGTCTTAATTTAGAGTTGACTTGAGTTTGAACCAAAAAAACAGTACATGTTCATGGAAATGTATAACTAAAATTTTGTGTTTAGAAGTGTAGGTAAGAATTTGTTTAGAAGCGTTTATCGACACATGAGAAGGGTTACATACAAATATAGATACCACCTTAATCCAAAAGTCTAGACTAAAAAGTCACAAGTTAATCTTATATACCACCTTCATGGAAATTTTATTTTTTTATTATTTTTTTTAATATGGAATAGTTACCACACATATGAACCTAACAAGAATGGATGATTAGCTTTTGCAAGTGAAACATAAAAATTAGTATTTTCTTTTGGGTATTTTATGTATGTTTTTTTTTTTTTTTTTCATCTAGTTGGTCATTGTTTATCCATTATTTAGTACAAACAGGAGTTGAAAGCATATAAATTCATAACATTTTCTCAATAAATAAAAAAAATTGTAGTGAAGTTTTTGATATGCAAAAAGCTAATTTGTTCAATAGTATTCTAAATTTTTGGTCAAATAAAAAAAAAATCTGATTTAGGTTTCAAATCTTCCTTTTGATCAGCAATCAAGTTCTGTAACTTTTGTACATACATTTGATTAAAAAAATTAAAAATTTACAGGTCTAAATAGATAAAATAAAAAATTGAGACTTTCAAATATAAAAATTAAAATTTTTGCATATATACTAAATCTCACATTTTGAATGATATATAGTTGAAGGGGTGGGATCCTTTCAGTCTCAAATGGATCTGCACGCCCAAAATGCGAACGTCAAAAGCATACAATTCAGCTATTTAGCTCTCTTGCTAATCGCGAAATCCCTGTTCCATGGCCACGGTCGGCGTCTGCCATGGAAAAATTTTTGAAAGCCACAGAAGGAACGAAAACGGGAATCCAGAAAGTTGCTGCAAAAACAACTGTGGCAATGAATGCTGCAACAAATGTATTTTTATTCTTTGCTTCAATTTATGGTATTGCAACCGTTAGAGAATAACTCTTTATCTATTAATCATTAAATGGTAATGACAAATAAAAATAACTCAATTATATTGTAGAAGAATAGACTAAACTATTTTTCATTTTTCTCTTGACATTTATTTGTTTATTTTTAATAATTTTCAAAAAGTTTGGTGAGTAAATTATAAATTAGTCTTTCTTGTTTTGAGTAATGAATTAATTAGTTCTTCTCATTTTAAAAACTAATTATTTAATTTTTATATTTTTAAATCTACTTGTAACTTAATTATTTTTTTTTAATTTATTTTGATTTTTTGTTTCTAAAAATAAAAAAAGGAAAAATATGAAAAAATTGATTAAAAAAGATATTTTATAAAATAAAAATAACATTAAATTAAGTATAGTTATCACTTATCAAAGAAATAAATAATAATATTTGAAACAAAAATGACTAATTTATTTATTTATTAAAACAGAGGGACTAATTTATAATTTACTCACGTTTGGTCCAGTCCAGAAATTCAAGCTTGTAACTCAAGGGAAAAAGGTAAAATCACCTTCAGTCCAAAACGAGGCGAGAGGTCCGCCAAGACAGTCCTGTCTACTCTCTAGACGACGCGTCATTCATCTAGAGTAGCTATATACATAAAAACTCGAGATCTGTAATTTGATTTCCTATTCTTGGTGA